GTGCCTTCGGTGCATTATTTACATAATATCGGAGCTATATCTAAATCTGGGCCGATTTTCAGGAAACTTAACACATATCATTCTACACTCAATTCAGTACCCTAGGCCAAATTTCGTGCAAATCGAAATATAATAAGTCCTTTGGTGCACTATTTACATAAAATCGACGAAAATATATATGGGAGCTATATCTAAATCTGGGCCGATTTTCAGGAAACTTAACACATATCATTCTAGACCTAATTCATTACGCTATGCCAAATTTTGGGAAATCGAAAAATATATAGGGACTTTGGTGCACCATTTACATAAAATCGTACGAAACTATATATGAGAGCTATATCTAAATCTGGGCCGATTTTCAGGAAACTTAACACATATCATTCTACACTCAATTCAGTGCCCTAGGCCAAATTTCGTGCAAATCGAAATATAATAAGTCCTTTGGTGCACTATTTACCTAAAATCGGACGAACATATATATGAGAGCTATATCTAAATCTGGACCGATTTTCAGGAAACTTAACACACATCACTCTATACTCAATTCAGTACGCTATGCCAAATTTCGTGCAAATCGAATGATATATAGGGACTATGGTACACCATTTACATTAAATCGGACGAAAATATATATGGAAGCTATATCTAAATCTGGACCGATTTTCAGGAAACTTAACACATATCATTGTAGATCTGATACAGTACGTTGTGCCAAATTTCGTGCAAATCGAAGGATATATAGGGACTTTGGTGCACCAAATCGGAAGAAAATATATATGGGAGCTATATCTACATCTGGACAAATTTTCAGGAAACATAACACACATCATTCTAGACTTAATTCAGTACGTTATGCCAAATTTCGTGGAAATCGAAAGATATATAGGGACTTTGGTGCACCATTTACATAAAATCGGTCGAACATATATATGGGAGCTATATCTAAATCTGGACCGATTTTCACGAAATTTAACACACATAGTTCTGGACCTTATTCATTACGCTGTACCATAATTCGTACAAATCGAAAGATATATACTGTCTTTGGTGCACCGATTACCTTAAATCGGACGAAGATATATATGGGAGCTATATCTAAATCTGAACCGATTTTTCCTAATTTCGTCTTTGGGCCAAATAAGTGACCTATGCCAAATTTCATTCAATTCGGATCATAATTGCGACCTGTACTTTGTTTACAATTTAACGTGGACAGACAGACGGACGGACGGACGGACATACATAAATCGATTCAGAAAGTGATTCTATGCATATTCTCAAATGGAAAAATGAGTCTATCTCGTTCCCTTTTGCCTGTTACAAACATATGCACAAAGACATAATACCCTGTACCATGGTGTGGTGAAGGGTATAACAATCCTCACCTTGTATAGGTCCCCCAACAAATATTTTCAAAACAAGTGAGCGGAGCAGTATAGTCGAACGGGGCCGACCGTACGATACCCTACACAACAACCACAGAACTCTAACTGTGGTAACGGGTGTTTATTTCGAGCCTTGGCAATATTTCGTGATATTTGCACACTCTTGCCCGATTAGAGGTCTACAGCACACCTTCCTTACATTGACATATATTCCGAATATTACTAATAGTCGGTACAGTCCAAAAATTAATTTTAAAAAAATCCACGCCTTTGTTAAGGCCTCCAAAATTTAGTTTTAAACCAGTGAGCGGAGCAGTATAGTCAGACGGGACCGACCATACGATACCCTACACAACTACCACGGAACTCTAACTTTCTGCGGATGTTTATTTCGAGCCTAGACAATATTTCGTGACCGATTAGAGATCAAACGAACCTCTTCCTTACATATTATTAGAATATTCCCAATATTCAGTACAGCCCTTCTAATTACTTGTCCAGGTTCCCTTCACCGTGGGTTGTATTGTGATGTTCGGCTTTCAATTGTGATCTATAGATCGACTCGAAAAATCACAAAAAAATAAATTTACGGTCAATTCATCACAAAAATTTTATCTGATCATCACCGAAAATTATGGGCATTGTCCTTGACCATAACTGGATCCTCATGGAAACTTTCAAAGCGATCAGCGCTATATTTCCGCCCTCTAGAGTGGTAATGGGTTACTAATATATGTATACGCAAGTACCCCTAAATATTTAAGTGCAACTCCCACATCCGGGTACATTCGACAATATAATTGGTATCAATTTAAAGGTCAACCACTCCTCTTGGATATACTATCAACTTCTCGGGTCTATGTCCTTCAGCAGTAAATATATACGCCATAGAATACCAATTTTGTAATTTTAAACACAAAAGTCAGGGTCCATTTGACCCGCTAAATAATGACCGATCTTTATGAAAACAGGCATGCTTATTCTTTGCCCAGAGCCCCTTATCCAAAAACTATAGGGGTCTTCATTGGCCAGAACCCATCCTACATGCAAAATTTCGTGAAAATTGGTCGATAACTGTGCCCTGTATCGTGTTTACAAATTATAATGGAAAGACAGACAGACGGACGGACTCTAGACCGACTCCGCTAGTCGAGATATGACGATCGGTATACTTAAAGGTGGGTCCAGGACCAATATTTCACGGCGTTACAAACTCTTGGGGCTGCACAAGCTATAATACCCTGACAACATAGTTGTCTGTAGGGTATAAAAATCCGTAGCTTTGGTAAGGGCTCAAAAATATGTTTTAAAAAATCCGTAGCTTTGGTAAGACCTCAAAAAATAATCAAAAAAAAAAAAAAAACAAAATCCATAGCTTTTGTAAGGCCTTAAAAAATCCGTAGCTGTGGTAAGGCCACAAAAATATATTTTTGAAATCCGTAGCATTGGATAGGCCTCGTTAATTTTTTTTTTTTTTTTTTTGATACGCTAAATATTGACTGATCTTTATCAAAAGCTTATTCTTTGGCCCGATCCCCTTCTCCGTGTAAAATTTCGCGATGTTTGGGCCATAACTGCAGCCTTGGTGCATTTCATCCCCTAAATTTTAACCAATCTTTACGAAAAGCAATAGGGGTCTTCATTGGCCAGAACCCATCCTACATGCAAAATTTCGTGAAGATTGGTCCATAACTGTGGCCTGTATCGTGTTTACAAATTATAATGGACAGACAGACGGACGGATGGACACACATGTCTAGATCGACTCAGCTAGTCGAGATATGACGATCGGTATACTTAAAGGTGGGTCCAGGACCAATATTTCACGGCGTTACAAACTCTTGGGGCTGCACAAGCTATAATACCCTGACAACATAGTTGTGTAGGGTATAAAAATCCGTAGCTTTGGTAAGACCTCAAAAAATAATTAAAAAAAAATACGTAGCTTTGGTAAGACCTCAAAAGTATTTTGTAAAAAATCCGTAGCTTTGGAAAGGTCTCGTAAAATAATTTTTAAACAATCCAGGCCTTTGTGGATGTCTCAAAAATATTTTTTTAAAAAATCCCCGCCACGTTGAGGGTCCTCAAAAAAATTTCCACTGCCTTCGCCTCAGAAATACTTGACACAATGTCTGTCACAATGAAAAGAAAATTCGCCAGCGAACAATACCAACAAATTATTCAAACCTCTAATCGTGTAGTTGTTGTTGTTGCTTTTTGTTGTCATAGTTGTAGTTGTTGACTCTGTAGTGGTAGTAGTGGCTTGTTCTTTGTCAATTGTGCCAACAATTGCCGGTTATGTCGAACAACAACTTCACACAAAAAAATGTAACCCAACAACATGGCAACGTAAGCTATAGAATAACCATAAAAACAACAACAACGACAAATTTTGTTGTTGTTGTAGCGAAAAAAAATACCTCAGCAGATAAATACTTGGAAGCATGCAAGTCGCAACGACAAAGGCATGAGGTGTTATAAATTTATAGACTGAGCGGATGGGCCCTTCTACTGCTCGAAAGTGGTGGGTTGTACAAGGGGAGGGGGTGGAGGTGCTTAAGGCATACCAACGAACCAGTCAACCAGCTAGTTTCGCTTTTTTCCACTCTCTCTCAGACATACACAGAGCGCACAAAAAAAAGGAAAAGCCCTTAAACCCAGAGGTCAATAGCCTAAAAGTATGCTTCTGCCGCTGGTTTTTTTGTTTAGAATGAAAATGAATGAGTGTGTGTGTGTGTGCCATTCATTCATACACAAGAAATTGTAACTGTTGTTAGTTAGCTAGTTCACATATATAGAATTTTATTTTGTGATTTTTTTCTTTTCTTCAAGTGGCAAATTGTGTCTGCGATTGTTGGGCTTGAGGCCCATCAAAGAAGGTTGGAATGAAGGGGGCCAGGGTGCCAGGGAGGGGTTCCATAATATATGGCCCCGGCAATTTTCTATTGAAATTAATTTGCTGCCTCAGTGTCAGTCCTTTTGTTCGCAGTACTTAGCTTTGTATTATCCACCATTCATTGTGTATTCCTTTTGCTGTTGTCTACTTTTAGGCGCCATTCAACAGATGACCAAGATTTCGATTTAATCTCGAATGTAAGCGGTTCATATAAGCGGGATAATTTTATATTTCGCATATGGAATTTTAAGAGGAAGGTAAGTGAAAACCAAAGCCAAAAATTCCTCGTCCGATCCTCCTTTAAATTTTGAAATTTTTTTTTTTTTCAGAAAAAATCTTCACACATTTTGGACAAATTTTGGCAGCATCAGGATACCACCTATGCCAAACTAAGCAATGGGAATAATGGAGAAAGGTAAGGAACTCACAAAAAAATAATGTTAAACCATTAAGAAAAGCAGTAAAATCAGACGGGCCGACTATATGATACCCTTCACCACTTTGGGTATATTTTACATATGTCTCCTAACAGACTCCGCCTTTTCGCAAGAACATTGACATGATATAATATATCTAAATCTGAACCGATTTTTACGATGCTTAGCAAACATCATTCTAGACTCAATTCAGTACGCGATGACAAATTTCGTGCAAATCGATAGATATATTGGGACTTTATGCACCATTTACTTAAGATCGGACAAAGTTGTAGCTTATGCGGACGACGTGGTGATATTGATTTCCGGAAATTTCCGTCTACAATCTCGGAGCTTATGCAAAGAGCCTTACTGACGCTGTCGCGCTGGACCAGGGCAAATGGTCTTGGTGTAAATCCAACGAAGACGGAACTGGTAATGTTCACTAGGAAGCGTAAGGTCGGCGTTGATGGAACAAACATCAACACTGGATGGAGAGCAACTTCATCTATTTCCCGAAGCAAAGTACCTCGCACAATCCTGGACTGTCAACTACGATGGAAAAGCAACGTTGAGGAGCGGGCGAAGAGAGAGATGATTGCACTCTATGCATGCAAGAACTCCATTGGGAAAAGATGGGGGCCAATAAACATCGAATATACACTGGCTGTATAACACTGTAGTGAGGCCCATCTTGTCCTATGGTTCTCTTGTTTGGTTGAACTGTCTGAGCCTCATGTCGACATACAGTAAATTAGACAAGATACAAAGAGCCGCGATTTTAGTTACAGGAGCCAGAAGGAGTACGCCACAAGCAGCTCTGAACCAAATGCTGTACTTCAAGCCTCTGGGCCTCAGCATTAATTGTCAGACGGCGCGTAGCGCCCTAAAGCTGCATGAACAAAACTATGGCGGAACTGTACCATTGGGCATGGTAGTATTCTGAATGAACCAGGTATGGCATTAGACCAACGCGCTAAACTAAGCGACTATATATCACCAATCCTGAGATTTGACGATGTAGATATCGTTATTCCTGACTGGAAACGAAGTAACCCTCCTCGGGACGGTCTGGCCTTCTATACAGACGGATCCAAGATGGAAGAAGATAGGTGAGGCCTTGAATTAACCTACAAGCTGGATTGCAACTGTAGTGTTTTCCAAGCTGAAATCTTCGCGATCTGGAAGGCAGCGGAATTGATAAAAAGTCTGGTTGCTGAGGTCGCTGAACCGTTGACTATCTTTGTGGATAGTCAAGCGGCTCTTAAAGCCATCAAATCTTGTTATATCAAATCCGAAGCCGTCCTCAAGTGTAGAGCAGCTCTGGAAGAACTTACCTATAGCTATCGGTTGTGTTGGGTACCAGGACATTGTGAAATCTTGGGCAATGAAAGAGCGGACGAACTAGCTAGACGAGGATCTCACTCCACCGATCTAGAAACTGATGACTCAATCAAACCACCCATATGTCTTTTTTATCGGAACTTTGAGGCATTCTTTGACGAAATAGCCTGTGAACTTTGGTACAACGAACCTAGGTGCAACGTGTCAAGATCCATTTGGCCGACTCTGTCTACCAAAAGAACGCACTCACTGTTGAACCTGAGCAAAGCTGAAATTAGAGTGATGACGGGAATCATCACTGGTCACTGCAACATCAGGGCTTTTACTAGTAAATGGGATCTTGATGCAATTGATTACTGTAGACTCTGCGTTGACGAGGAGGAGACGGAGACAATTGAGCATCTCCTGTGTCATTGCCCAGTCCTGGCTTACAGGCGGCACAGGCAAGTGGGTGCTCATTTTCTACCGAGTCTCAGCTTCTTTCCAACAACCGAACCTGCTCTAATCTACAGCATAATTAGAAACATAAAGAGGTTGTATGTTCCAACCTTGACACATAACACATCTTCTGTCTGACTCATAGAGCCATCGACCTTCATTCTTCTTTCACTTATTTATGTAAGATTCTCAACTCTCCTTGAATTCACTAATCTTCTCTCCCCTACAGATCTGTCTTTGTCTCTTCTCTTCAACGTATCTCTTCTTGTGAATGATCACAACGGACCTAACCGGTCTCAGAGTGCTGCAGCCACATACATTAAATCGGACGAAACTATATATGGGAGCTATATCTAAATCCGGACCGATTTTCACGAAACTTAACAGACATCACTTTATGCTCAATTCAGTACCTTATGCCAAATTTCGTGCAAATCGAAAGATATATAAGAACTTTGGTGCGTCATCTACAATAAATCGGACGAAAATATATGTGGAAGCTATATCGAAATCTGAACCGATTTTTTCCCAATTTCAACAGGGTTCGTTCTTGAGCTGTGCCAAATTTCATCCAATTCGGATTATAAATGCGACCTGATTTTTTTTAAAATTTTACACCAACAGACGGACAGACGGATGGACATGCATAAATCGACTCCGAAAGTGATTCTATGCATATTCTCAAAAGGAACTATGGGTCTATTTCGTTTCCTTTTGTCTGTTACAAACATATACACAAAGACCTCGGAAAAAATGATTTAAAAAATCCACGCCTTATGTAGACCTCGGAAAAAATGATTTAAAAAATCCACGCCTTATGTAGACCTCGGAAAAAATGATTTAAAAAATCCACGCCTTATGTAGACCTCGGAAAAAATGATTTAAAAAATCCACGCCTTATGTAGACCTCGGAAAAAATGATTTAAAAAATCCACGCCTTATGTAGACCTCGGAAAAAATGATTTAAAAAATCCACGCCTTATGTAGACCTCGGAAAAAATGATTTAAAAAATCCACGCCTTATGTAGACCTCGGAAAAAATGATTTAAAAAATCCACGCCTTATGTAGACCTCGGAAAAAATGATTTAAAAAATCCACGCCTTATGTAGACCTCGGAAAAAATGATTTAAAAAATCCACGCCTTATGTAGACCTCGGAAAAAATGATTTAAAAAATCCACGCCTTATGTAGACCTCGGAAAAAATGATTTAAAAAATCCACGCCTTATGTAGACCTCGGAAAAAATGATTTAAAAAATCCACGCCTTATGTAGACCTCGGAAAAAATGATTTAAAAAATCCACGCCTTATGTAGACCTCGGAAAAAATGATTTAAAAAATCCACGCCTTATGTAGACCTCGGAAAAAATGATTTAAAAAATCCACGCCTTATGTAGACCTCGGAAAAAATGATTTAAAAAATCCACGCCTTATGTAGACCTCGGAAAAAATGATTTAAAAAATCCACGCCTTATGTAGACCTCGGAAAAAATGATTTAAAAAAATCCACTCCTGTTTGTAGAGCCCAAAAATAATTTTTATAATTTTTATTTTTTTCTTCCAGTTTCTCCGACATCCAGCTACAAAATCTAGATGTCACCAATCTCCTCATAACCACAGGCCACACCAAAGAATCTTCTGTCAACTATATACCCAGTCGAGTACCCAGTTCCCGGGCCAGTTCCTCTTTGGATCTGGAATGGGAACATGAATATAGTCAAATGCGCCACTATCAACAGCACATGATTAAGCAGCGGACCCAAATGTTGCAGACCTATCAACAGCTACAAATGATGGACTCAAAACCCTGTGATGAAACCTCAGCCGATGAATCGTGGCATTATGTCAGTCACGGTGGAGGAGGGGGAGGAGGTGTAGGCGATAGCCTAGCGGCGGATGAAGAAGAGGATCAATTAAATTCCATGGCTTCCATGTCATCAATGGCTGAGTTGCCTAGTGAGGCGGAGATAGAACTGGCCGCCCGGCAACGTTCCCACAAAACGAAAGATTCTCAACGTTCCGGAGAGCGTCGGGCTCTGCTACGTTCCAATTCACGTCTTCAGCGTTCCATAACTCGTAATAGCTCTCACAACTCCTGGTCCCATATTTCCACTCCGGAATCTCTAGAATGGGATGTTGATGAGGAACAACAACGACAGCTCCATGTCGAAGATGATAATTTAGATCATGAGACCCTAAAGCTGCTGCATCAAATTGAACAGTTGAAAAATCGAGTACTCTATGAAACCGGAGAGGGTCTCTATGCCGATCCAGAGGAGAGTTTTATGACGACGGCAATTAGTAACTATCGGCTCAATAATATGAATGTGACAGCATCAGCCAGAACGACAGGTGGTGCGGTTGAAAATTCCACAGCCCTGTTTCACCTGGGTGACAGTGATGGCGAAAATGGCAATTACAGATGATTTGTGGCAATACGAAATTTAATTTAAAAAAATAATTCAACCGAAATTTTAATTTACTAGTTATGGATTCCACTGGGGGATGGGGTCTCTAAGGCCCCACCCCCTTAGTCCTTGGGAAATATGAAGAAAATATAATTATGTTATAGTAATCTGCAGTCTAGGTGATAATATGTAGGTGTCTAGGATAATTGTACCCTTCCTTAAAAAATACAAAAACAAAATCGATAACAATTACAACAACAACAAATACATAAACAAGTGCCTCGTTTTAGAACACACACTCACACACACACAATGTTACACTGAGAGAAAAAAATATAAAAAATGTTAATTAAAGAAAAAAATAACAAAACCCTAGCCTATGAATCTACAAGAAATTAAAAAACACAAACGGAACAGAGGTGGGGAGCAGGGTAGATCTTTTCAAAAAATAATTTTTAAAAAATCCATGCCTGGTTTAAGGTCCCCAAAAATAATTTTTAAATCACTAAGGAAAGTTCAAAAGTCGAGCGGGGCCGACTATATGATAACCTTCACCACTATGTATGCTATGCCAAATTTCGTGCAAATAAAAAAAAAACGATTTTCACGAAACTTAGCACACATCATTCTAGACTCAATTAAGTGCGCTGTGCCAACTTTCGTGCAATTCGAGAGATATATAGGGGCTGTGGTACACTACATGCGTAAAATCGGACGAAAATATATATGGGAGCTATATCCAAATCTGAACCGATTTTCACGAAATTTAACACACATCGTTCTGGACCTTATTCAGTACGCTATGCCAAATTTCGTGCAAATCGAAGGACATTGGTGCACCGTTTACATAAAATCGGCCGAAACTATATATGGGAGCTATAACTAAATCTGAACGGATTTTCACGAAATTTAACACACATCGTTCTAGACTTAATTCAGTACGCTGTGGCAAATTTCGTGCAAATCGAAGGATATGTAGAGCCTTTCGTACACCATTTACATAAAATCGGACGAAAATATATATGGGAGCTATATCCAAATCTGAACCGATTTTCACGAAATTTAACACACATCGTTCTGGACCTTATTCAGTACGCTGTGCAAAATTTCGTGCAATTCGAGATATATATAGGGACTTTGGTGCACCATTTACCTTATATCGGACGAAAATATATTTGGAACCTATATCTAAATTTGACCCGATTTTCAGGAAACTTAGCACACATCATTCTAGGCTTAATTCAGTACGCTATGCCAAATTTCATGCAAATCGAAGGATATGTAGAGACTTCCATTTACATAAAATCGGACGAAAATATATATGGGAGCTATATCTAAATCTGAACCGATTTTTACGAAATTTAACACACATCGTTCTGGACCTTATTCAGTACCCTATGCCAAATTTTGTGCAAATCGAAGGATATATAGAGACTTCTGTGTACCATTTACATAAAATCGGATGAAAATATATATGGGAACTATATCTAAATCTGAACCGATTTTCATGAAATTTAACACACATCGTTCTGGACCTTATTCAGTACGCTTTGCCAAGTTTCGTGCAAGTCGAAGGATATATAAAGACTTGGGTGCACTATTTACCTCAAATCGGACGAAAATATATATGGGAGCTATATCTAAATCTGAACCGATTTTCACGAAATTTAAAACACATCGTTCTAGACTTAATTTAGTTCGCTGTGCCAAGTTTCGTGCAAATCGAAGGATATATAGAGACTTCCGTGCACCATTTACGTAAAATCGGACGAAAATATTTATGGGAGCTATATCTAAATCTGAACAGATTTTCACGAAATTTAACATACATCGTTCTGGACCTTGTTCAGTACTCTGTGCCAAATTTCATGCAAATAGAAGGATATCTAGGGACTTCCGTGCACCATTAACCTTAAATCGGACGAAGATATATTTGGAAGCTATATCTAAATCTGATCCGATTTTCACGAAATTTAACACACATCGTTCTAGTCTTAATTCAGTACGCTATGCCAAATCGAAGGATATATAGAGACTTCCGTGCACCATTTACCTAAAATCGGACGAAAATATTTATGGGAGCTATATCTAAGTCTCAACCTATTTTCACGAAATTTAACACACATCGTTCTGGACCTTATTCAGTACGCTGTGCTAAATTTCATGCAAATCGAAGGATATATAGGGACTTGGGTGCACTATTTACCTTAAATCGGACGAAAATATATATGGGGGCTATATCTAAATCTGAACCGATTTTTCCAATTTCAATAGGGTTCGTCCTTGGGCCGAATAAAGTAGCTGTGCTAAATTTTATCCACAGACACATACGGACGGACATGCATAAATCGACTTAGAAAGTGATTCTATACATATTCTCAAAAGGAACCATGGGTCTATCTCGTTTCCTTTTGCCTGTTACAAACATATGCACGAAGACATAATACCCAGAACCACAGTGTGGTGAAGGGTATAAAAATCCACGCCTTATATTTTTTTAAAAAATCCAAGCCTTGTTTAGGCCTTGAAAAAAATTAAAAAAAAATCATCATGCCCCACCTCTGTTCGGAATAAAATATTACGTCCAACCTACAGGTATTTCCTTTTTTTCTTTTAGCATCTCTATAATATTTTTTTGTAAAAATAAATATATATTTTTTTATGAAAAGCTACATAAATTATTTTGGAAATTTAATAAAAAAAAAACGATAAAAAAAATAATTTTTATAAAATTTATTTTGCTATTGCAAACATTTATTATTACTATTTTTTTGTTAAAAAAAATATAACCTTAAAAATAAAATAAAAATATTTTTTTTTTGCAATTTATAAAGGCCTCATAGAAAAAAATCCAAATGAAAAAAAACATCAACACATATCCCTTATAAAATAAGAACCAACAAACACACACATACATACCTACACACACTACTACAAATGATAAGCAAACAAAATCCCTCAGACCACAGTCCTACCCACACCACAAAGAACAAAAAATAGAGTAAAGGAACAGCTACCATAATGGAACCATGGTCGGTTATGGGAGGAAAAACCCTTCCCATGGCATAACGCAAATGTTGGTATTGTATTGAAAATTTAAATGGAAAAAAATCTTGAATTGCAATGTTTTAAATATTTTTAAATGTTAAAGAAAAACGAAACCAAACCTAAAACGAAATTAGTTTATTAATTATATTTAAAAAAAAAAATTAAAAAAATAATAATACTGTTATAAACTGTGTAATTATATTGTAAAAAAAATTGAAAACAACAACTATGAAAAAATTAAAAAATAAAATAAAATGAGATCCTAGTAAAAAATCGTAACGAAAACATGATATTATACTCAAAACAAAAACCTTTATATATAAATATATCTATTATATAGGAGGCGATTAAATTAAAAAACTAAATAAATAGTAATTAAAATAAAATAAAAAAAGGATAATTAAATTATTTTTAAAGGTGTTTTATTTAAAACTAGTTTGGGTAAGGTGTCCAAAAATAAATTTAAAAAAACCCACGCCTTGGTTAAGGTGTCCAAAAATTAATTTAAAACCAGTAAGGAAAGTGGCAAAGTCGGACGGGCCGACTATATAATACCCTTCACCACTTTGGGTATATTCAACAGATGAATCCTAACAGACGTCGCATTTTGTCATTCTGCAACCTTTACAAAATTAGAAATTTCATCAGATATGGAATCGCTTCTAACAATGGGACAAACTTATAAAAATCAATTAAAAGCAAATATCGATCGGACATCCGTTTATTATTTGAATAAATATCTGATAAACATGAGGAGTTTGGTGCACCTACATCTAAATCTGAACCGACTTCAATGAGACTTGTCAGAGATTTATTTATATCAACTTCATTGTACAAAAAATCGGAAGAAAAAATATATAGGAGCTATATCTAAATCTGAACCAATTTTCAGGAAATCACACACACACATCACACATCATTTTAGACCTAATTCAGTATGCTGTGCTAAATTTCGTTCAAATCGAAAGCTATTTAGGGACTTTGGTACACCATTTACTTTAAATCGGATGACGATATATATGGGAGTTATATCTCAATCTGAACCGATTTTCACGAAACTTATCATTCTAGACACATTTCTGTACACTGTGCTAAATTTTGTGCAAATCGAAAGAGATATAGGATCTTTGGTGCACTATTTACCTTAAATCGGACGAAAATATATATGGGACCAATATCTAAATCTGCACCGATTTCCACGAAACTTAGCACACATCATTCTAGACTTATTTCTGTACGCCATGTCCAATTTTGTGCAAATCGAAAGATATATAGGGTCTTTGGTGCACCAGTTACCTTAAATCGGATGAAAATATATATGGGAGCTATATCTAAATCTGAACCGATTTTCAGGAAACATAGCACACATAATTCTAGACTTAATTCAGTACGGCATGTCAAATTTCGTACAAATCGAAAGATATATAGGGACTTTGGTGCACCATTTTCATAAAATCGGACGAAAATATATATGGGAACTATATCTAAATCTGAACGGATCTTCACGAAACTTAATACACATCATTCTGTACCTAATTTAGTGCACTATACCAAATTTCGTGCAAATCGAAAGATATATAGGGACTTCGGTACACAATTTATATTAAATCGGACGAAAATATATATGGGAGCTACATTTAAATCTGGACCGATCTCAATGAAATTTAACCCACATCGTTTTAGACTTAATTCAGTATGCTATGCCAAGTTTCGTGCAAATCGAAAGATATATAGGGACTTTGGTACACCACTTACATTAAATCGGACGAAAATATATATGGGAGCTACATATAAATCTGAACCGATTTTCACGAAACTCAGCACATACATTCCAGACTCATTTCAGTACGCTATGCCAAATTTCGTGCAAATCGATAGATATATATAGGGACTTTGGTGCGCCATCTACTTTAAATCGGACGAAAATATATCTGGGAGCTATAAATTTAAACACATCGTTCTGGACCTTA